GCATTGTCGTGCAGGAGGAAGATAACTTTGCTGATCTTGCCCCGCCTCTTGATTTTGATAGCATAATAGGCTCCTGTAATTGTGGTACCCTTTGCCAGGAAATCTGTCATCACTACTACGCCCGGATCCCAGAAGACTGTGAGCTTGACCTTGCCAGCGGAGGGCTGCACCCTTGCCTTCTTTAGAGGCGGTGAGTCAAAGTGCTTCCACTGCTTCCAAAGTGCTTGACTGGGCCTTAGTGTCTGGATCATAGTGATGGACCCAAGTGCCATCCTGTGTAATCAGTCTTTTGAAAAAACTTTGACTCATTTCATGACATATTCTCCAAATTCATCCTCGAGCACTCGGCGCGTTCTTGCTTCTGGAAAGGTGTGAGCAACCTGGGAATTCATCTGGTAGACACCTTATGCATATGCAAATGGTCATGAATGATAGTCTCCACAGACCCTGTACTAATCTTGACCTATAACGCATATAGATGTAAATCATTACACATGCACAATTTCATCTAGATCAGACAACTGGAAGTGGGTCAGGGGCATTACTTATTGAACGCCCCTCGTAATTTGTTGTCAACATTCAGACTACATACATTTATCTAATGCAACCAAGGTTGATAAATCCAGAGACAGAAAATCAAGCATCTTGCGGAAAGAATTCTTAACTCCAAATCAGATTAAACCGGAAATTTGGGGCGGTGTATCGAACGTCAAGTACGTACGCAATTATGTTATTGCGACTTAATACTAGTTATTTCTGTTTTCGAGGTGATCCCCTTTTTATTTAATACTTTGATTGTTTTCTGTCTAGTTAGATTAGCAGATGGATAATCTAATATTCTATTCAAAAGCAAAATAAAATAACAACCGTTAATCAGCCGTAAATTATTGTTTTCACCTGTTCAATGAGTTAACATTTGAGTGATAGAAATATACAGTTCACAATAGAGAAATATATCTTGTAATATTTCAATTGGCAGTTGGTCAAGGCCAGGGAAGTGTTTAAACACATCTTGTTTTCTGTAGAATTGTTTTTGTACCGTATTTATTTATTTATTCATTAATTGTTTCCACAGACTGGATATTACATTCCTGTCTGAATACTAATAACCAGCTGATTAATCCCGTGCTAAATCATTGCAATTCACGCTCACGGTCATCGAAAACTATGACAGGAAGCCATACAAATCATGATGTCTTTGTCTGAGAATGATCACAAAAATTGTCTCCAATATGTACCCCTCCATTGACAATCTGCGACTGCACGTTGATAGTTTAAATTCACATTCACATCAGCTACATGCACACCATGTCTGATTGATTGTGTTGATAATATGTTACATATATTCATAAATACACGCTCAATTTGTGTTACACAGCAGAGGTTAGTTGGTTGTAGAAATGCGAACGTTAGCAGTGAGTTGTAACAGTGGCAGCATAGGATAAATGTGTTACAAACATGCCACGTTTTATACCCTAAGAACTCTACAACAAGGAGGCAACTAAAAAAATACATATTATATTTAACAAAGAACAAACTAAATAACGCTTGAGTATATACTCAATGCGTTGTTACGATACGATAGGCATTTGCATCATAGAATTGTTAATTGCTGAAACAATCAACACATTTCGTATCAAACAACATAGTTAGACATTGTCGAATGATGTTTGAAACCATGTTGGAGCAATTAATGCAATTGATATTTCATAATTTATACTGTTATTTTGATCAATATTGCACAATGTACCGTGTATGATACTACAACTCACATACTGTCTTCTGTATTTTAGAGACAACGAGACTTACTAAATCAGTTTGGCACTTCCGTCTAATACACAATCCGCACACACGCTCTATTGGTTCAGAATGTTATCATTTGGTGTTAGCGTGTGGGAGTAGTGTACGAATCCTTTAAAGATATATTATTGTCACAACGTAACAGCATGGATTACGTGGTATTCTCGTGTAAGGGCTATGCCAGAAACAATACATCTCAGCATTACACGCTATTAATATGCACATAACGTAAAAATAAAACATATAATAACAGACATATGAGAA